CAGTTTCGATGCATTTTCCAAAAAGTGGAACAATCAAAACGGAAAATCAAAACCATCCAAGAAAGAATCCTCTTCACGGGTAATCGATCTTCCATTTGTGAAATGCGACATTAGTTTGGAGTTCAGACCTACGTTTTTCAAGCGAGAACAATCATCTAATGTCTGAAAGATCTTATATTATTATTTTGAAACGTTGCTTTATTGACATCATTCTATGTTTGATGTTTCAGGGAGGAAGTTCCCATCACGAAGCATTGGGCAATGACTGGCTGCAAAGCGGTAACTGTCCGATAGCAAAGTCATATAGGGCTGTTAGTGGTGTTTTGCCACTTGTTGCCAAGGTTTTTAAACCACCTCCGGGGATGAAATTCAGGTGCCCACCTACAGTGGTAGCAGCCCGGGCAGCACTTGCGCAAACCACTTTCGCCAAGAACCTCCGCCCTCAAGCGTTGCCTACAAAAGTACTGGTGATAGGGATGTTGGGCATGGCGGCAAATGTTCCACTAGGGATATGGAGGGAACATACTAAAAAATTCTCACCATCTTGGTTTATAGCCGTTCATGCAGCTGTTCCATTCATAGCCATGCTACGGAAATCTGTCTTGATGCCCAAGTCAGCTATGGCTTTCACCATTGGGGCATCTATATTAGGCCAGGTTATCGGCTCTAGGGCTGAACAATATCGGCTGAAAGCGGTAGCAGCAAAACGATTAGGTATCGAGGAATCCTCTATTACTGTTGGTGCTGCAAATCCGCTAGAAGGTGTTGCCTTCAAGCATGGCTGTTGCGGGAAAGACATCGAATGGAATCCCGCTTGTCTTCAGGCGGCTCCACCTTCTTCATCGGCAGACGTGTTTTGCTAATCAGTTTGTCCCTCATTTGTAAGCTAAACTATTGCAGTTCTGCATGTCTTCAAACTACAGTTGGAGGCTGTTCGATGCTTTAGTGTTCATTCTCTGTACCACTACCAGAATTTTAATGTTTGCTATTCTCTCTGAAACCATGGCTGCTAAACGATTGACTTGGTAAACCCTGGCAAGTGCAAACTTCCATGGAAAGATATTAATAAAAGGTGACTGCCGGCTGCCATATTATTGGATGTTGCCATTATAACCGTGCAGATTTTATGTGGACATTTGATGTAATTTGATCGTTTCTGTCCATGCTATGTCTTTAATTTATCCCAATAATTATATCTATTGAAAGTTAAAATAATTACGTAACTTTATATATATATATATATATAAAACTTCAATTAATAGTATTAACTATTCAAATTAGCCAAACACAATATATAATGATCAAATTATAGCACTTTAAAGTAGAAGAATTAAATCCCAAATTCAACTATTGTAGAAAACATAAAAACCATAATCTGATCACCATAAACTAAAGCAGTAAATCTTCTAGTTGTTGGACCAAAACCATATGCTTTTTCTTTTTGGTTTATTTTTCATTGTACATTGATTATAATCAAAGATCACATCACACAAATGAGTGCACGAAAGATGATTTTTTAAATTTAAAAAAAAAAATAACAGTCGAAGCAAACTCAACATTAGTTGAGCCTAGATACGAAACAAAAAAACATTACATTACATCAAAAGAACACAAATACAAAACGAATATATGAACATGTCAAAATCTATATATCATAAACAATCAACTAATGTAAGTTATTAGCTAAGGATAGAAAGATTAACCTTGGTACAATCACGGCCATTCGAAGTTCGGTCAGTACTGTGAACAACAGTCTGCAATGACTGCTGCTCCATTTGAGACGAGGATGTGGAATAACTGACAAATGCAGAGGGATACTTGGCCATTAAAATAGCTGAATCCGGCAAAGGTGACAACCCAGTTTGAATCCTGTTCCCATCCCAGAAACCATGAATCCTCTTCGGAACATTTTCCACAGCACGGTGATTATTCTGATTGAATTTTGAGTTTCCATCAACATTATTACTTGTAGATTCAAACTCGACGGTTTTTTTTTTTTTTTGAAAAATGGGCAACCTTACCATCTGGGGAATTAGAATTGAGTATCTGACCAAAAAGCTTGACATTACCATTCCTGCAAGGCTTTCCTGTGTCTGAAATACTCCAAGACTGGGATTTTGGACGATCCTTGGATTGTTCGAAGTTTTGCACCAGGAGTGGAAGCTCGGCAGTTGATTTTGAGCTATTGCACTTCTGGAGATGGCAATCTTGAGCCAAATATGGACCGGCAACTCCCCTCTTGAATATTGAAAGGCCTTAACAACACCATTCGATTCTTTCAAAGTTGAAATTTGCAAGGGATAGCCCCTTAGGATCTGTTTGGATTCAGTAAGATTCAATAAAGGCTTTCCATATAGAGGATCAGGCTCATCTTCACTGATGGATTCGCAAGCTGGTTTGGCTTCATTCCCCTGATAATCAAGTGTTGATGAGAATCTATCTAAGTTGCAAATTTTCTCACATCGAAGGGAATTGGAATCATGCAATGCAGAACTTTCAGCAGAAGAGTTTTTACCAACAGAAAGCTTCTCAGCAGAATCCATGTTGGAAGGACATCCAGTGCTTAAGCTAAAACCTGAACAGGAGTTTTTACCAACAGATTCATCATTGGATTTATTTGAATCCTGCCTACATATACTTTGGCTGCTAGTCTCCGCACTGCATTTTGCATCATGTTCATCCACATCACTTGTGGACAATGAAGTTTCCGGTGCCATGAAATATTTTCCAAAGCCCTCGTTAGAACAAGTAGGACTTCCGGACTCGACTACAACATCAACAGGATGGCAAGGATGAGCTGCAACCCAAGAGATGCTGATACTGGAACAGGAACACCCTGATCAGCAACCTGATTTCTTCCAGCATTTAGGTCACCAAAAGCAATGCTTTTCTGAACCTGCAATGACTCGGCATTGATATCAACATCCATATCATCAGTACCACATTCAGAAATCACCTGGCCCACAGTATGATTCCCATTGTTTTTGTCTGGTAAGTTCAGGTCAGTTTGTAAAATCAGTTCGCTGGTAGTATAACATTCATCCGTATTCATGCTGACAATACTGGAAGGCAAGTCCTCCAGTTTAGACCCTAACTTACCACTGCAAACAACTGAGCACTCAAGGACAAAAGCGTCTTCCATATGACTCCCACCACCATTGGCATCATCACTCATGGGTGTTCCTGTGTTTCTATTTCTTGGATGTATCAAATCAAGTCCAAGGCATTTGCGAGCCTTGGTAAAGAAAACCTTGCAATGGTCCCTGGATCTTGTTTGGACTACATCAAAGTGTGGGGTGCCTTGTATAAGTATAATGGTAAGTCGAGACAAATACGTCGTCGATATAATATCGTTAAACAATTGATCTCAACTAGAGTTATCTATATTGATTTTGTAAGATCAATAGATAACATTGTAGATCCGTTAAACAATGAGTTGAATCGAGGTCAAGTTGATAAACATGAAAAATAATGTGTCTAAAGCCCATTAATATTTAAGGCGCTATGTGAAAGAAAACCCAACTTAATTGACCGAAGATCCCAAGATCTAAGTTCAATGGAACAACCTACTTACATAGATTTTGTGAGGTCACTGTAGGAATCCTTATCCAAAGTCTATTCCTATGATGAAAACAATGACTAAAATATAGAAAAAAAATTAAGCAACGCTTTTAATAACCAATATGTGTTTCGTTGAGCCAAACAACATAAGTCACCTATGTGAGAGTGAAGTTGAGCCACTTCAAAGAGATTATTGGGGTATAGTTCTCTAAACTCTTGCAGAACCAGGAGATGTCCACGGCTATTTGGACATAACCATGAGAACCAAATTCTTATTAGTGAGATATTTGTGTGAGGTATGTCATCACTTACACCAACGGCAGGACAGTTTAAGGACATCATGTATATCGGACAGTCAATAAGGTAAATATATTTTCATAAGGGAAGATTCAAAGTGGGTCACCTACTTATCCTATGCAAATATCAAACGTAAAATCTATCACTATATTGAGTCAGTGTTTGAATCATCAAGTTCATTCATCTGGGGGATTGTTGAAAAATTTGAATGAATTGATGCTATTTATAACTAATTAATTATAAATCCTGTCACTTAGTGAATGCACTTAAATTTTTGTTTAAAGTTGATATATTCAATCATACCTATTCAACAATTCTCTTCATGAAAAGATTAAATCATTTCATGAAAAGGTTAAGACTTTTCATCAAAAGGACATGTCTTTTAATCAAAAGGTTAAGTATTTTCAGCGAAATGTCTTAACTTTTAAGTCAATTTACTCTTTATATATATAGGCAAGTTACAAGACACAACACAACACACAAGTTACAAGTTACATAAGTTTAGAACTTTGGAATAGAAAAAACACTTAGAAAATTCATTTCAAATTCGTTCTTTTCAGTTATAGAGAAATGTAAGATTCGACTGATCACTACGGTTGTACTTACTGTTGTGATCTTTTGTTGTTGTATCATGGGAAATCGACATCCAACGTTACTCAAAGCACCTAGGAGAGGACAAATTTGTCTTAAGAAAACTGTTTATACAGGCCTCAACAAAAAAACCTTCTTCGATTTATCATACTCTACTCATCTGATTCCGTGTTTACACATGAGTAACAAGTTAATTCATTCTTTTATTTTAATTCTTTATAATTATATTGTTTTATTCGATTATATAATAATAATAATATTTTTATTTTTATCTCGAATTAACTAACAATAATTTCCACGTATTATCCAAAATTCTACAGGTCAACCTCCACCTTTCAAACAAACACAATATCCTCTTGTCTCCCAACCCCACATATCGTCTCAACCAAAATTTGACAGATTCCACGTGGAACAATAACAATAGAATCCCTACCATCATTTAGCCAATTAAAATTCACTTTTAGATTACCTTCGATTTCCTACTATCTCCTTTATCCATCCCCTCTCTTCTATTAACTTCCATATTCCCAACTTTCTTTTATTTTCATTTACGTCCCGTAGCTCGAACCTCAACTACTATGGCCGCCAACACACTGATGAGCTGTGGCGTAGCCACCACCGCTTTCCCTTCAGTCCTTTCCTCTTCCAAGTCCAAGTTCGCCGGCGCTACGCGGTTGCCTACTTTAGGCGCCACTGTCAGCCACCGTGTTAGCATGACGGCCGACTGGATGCCTGGCCAGCCTAGGCCTCCTTATCTTGATGGTTCGGCCCCAGGGTATGATTTCAAACTGCCTGTTTTCCAACTTTTTTCTTGCCATTTTTATAGTATTTGTAAGGGGCGAGTAAAATTCAACTCGAAAAAATTAAAATTTTCGACTGACGCTAGAAAAACGTTAGGCGATTTTTTTCCAATTAAAATATGAATTATAAAATAGGATTCGATAACACGACTATTTCAAAATTTTTCAATTTAACTTGATCGGACATCTACTCCTCAAATTTCTTACAAATCTGTGCTTTATATGTTTGGTTTCAGTGACTTTGGGTTTGACCCACTAAGACTTGGTGAGGTACCGGAGAATCTCGAGAGGTACAAGGAATCTGAGATATATCACTGCAGATGGGCTATGCTTGCAGTTGTAGGTGTTTTTTTGGGGTCAAATTATGGTTTTAGTCCCTCTATTTTTATTTAGAAGTGCTTAAATTGTGGTGCATGTAAAATTTTGCAGCCTGGTATATTGGTTCCCGAGGCTTTGGGGTATGGAAACTGGGTAAAGGCTCAAGAATGGGCAGCTATTCCCGGTGGACAAGCCACTTACTTAGGCAACCCGGTTCCATGGGGAACTCTTCCAACAATATTGGTCATCGAGTTCCTTGCCATCGCCTTCGTCGAGCACCAGCGTAGCATGGAGAAAGATACCGAGAAGAAGAAGTACCCTGGCGGTGCTTTTGATCCCTTGGGATACTCCAAGGACCCTAAAAAGTTCGAGGAATATAAGGTCAAGGAGATCAAGAATGGTACAAACTTCAAACCATTTTTTCCGGATAATATACATGAATCCGATTCGATCTAACCCGGCCCGAAGACATTTAGTTTGTTGATTGTTATTTGAATGAACTTTCTTGCTGTTTATAGGTCGTCTGGCAATGTTGGCGTTCGTGGGATTTTGTGTTCAACAATCAGCTTACCCCGGTACCGGACCATTGGAGAACTTGGCAACTCACTTGGCTGATCCATGGCACAACAACATTGGAGACATCATCATCCCCAGATCAATTTCGCCTTGAGATGACGATGGAACCTTTTTTAATATATTGTTCAATAACCCTTTGTGTAAAATTCCCTATGTAATCCATAAACAATGTAGTGAATCAGGGTTTCACGACTTTGGTATGTGTAATTAGACCCTTTACCTGTATTATTTTATGGATCATGAACTCTTCATTTAAGAAAAAAAATGTATGACCCTTACCTGTAAAGTACAATTGAGCACATTGAGATTGTGGATGGTAAAGTGTTGGATTGTTGGTCCATCCTAATTCGACCTAAAAATTAAAGTTTTTCACGGTATTTAACTAAGGTTTAAAAAGATCTCACCTGACTCTAAGTGAGATCCAATTTTTAGGTCAAAACTCTATCCGATCTGATATATGTATATATATTATTTTTATAAGATAAAATAAAGATTTAATTAAAAATAATAATATAAAAGGGATATTAATGTAATTATTTATAAATATATAAGAGATAATAATAATATTATGTAAGTCGAATTTTTTTCACCTAAATTAGAACCTAACATGATCTCACCCTAAAAAAAATGAAACCTACCCTTACCTGAATTTTCAAAATAAAAGATCAATTTGACCTGGTCAAATTCCGTCGACTCCGAGTGAAATGATCATCCCTTATGATGCCAAACAACTATAACATTAAGGATACCTATTCCCAAACTAATAAGCTTACCCATTTCGTCCAATCCTATCTTCTTCAGAAATAGCATTTACCTTCTTCAGAATTAGCATTTTAAATACTAATAGCAGAATTAGCATTTACCTTCAGAATTCAGCATTTTAAATATTAATAGCATCAAAACATGTTATTCTCCTTAAAGGTCCGAATTCAAACAATTGCGTTGAAGAGTCTGAGTTCAAACAATTGTGTCTACAAAATATATATATGTATTGTCAATAACTAAAAAAGTTCTAAACAAATATTACCTTATCATCATCCCGTACTACTAAAATAAAATATTAATAGCATCCTTCTCAAGCGTTGAAATAAAGGCAGGGATTAGCATTCTAAAAACATTGAAGAGAGAATTTCTTGGCAGCACATATTAAATTTTGTTTTAGAACTTGAACATCATCATCCAAAGCATGGCACAAATGAAATAACAAAATATGATAAAATAATGACAAAAAATTGTTCCCAAGCATGAGCTCTGAGTTTTGACATAATCATACAGGGCCTGATTGAAGGTTGTAGACGACTAAACCATCATTCTTCATAGAAGATACCTAGTTCCTCACGGTTGTCACATTCTTCAAAAGCATCCGTACGACATCGTGAGATATCCTTGCGGCTTCATTCTTCAAGTGATTGATCTTTGCATCTGTTTCAACCTCAAGCCGCTTCACATTAGCTCCCGAGTCTCCGCTACTCTGTATGATGATCCACGACCATGGATAAGAATCAGAATTTTTATTGAAGACTTACAGAAATTAACTATGAGATATTTATTTAACAAATAGATTCAATAAAAGGCCCATTTTTGTATTATAATTTTGATAGAAGCCAAAAAAGGGTCGGTTGCTCATATATAGATTTTTGGCGCATTACTGTCAATGAAACACACTAGATAACAAAATCTACGAATTCATACCTCAGCTACCTTCTTCTGAAACTCATACTCCACTTGAGCATGATATTCAGCAATCTCTTTCTCTGCCTCTTCCTTTGCCTGTCTTAGTCTAGCCATTTTTGCTGAAGAAAAGAAACAGAGTGAGTTGACATCGAATCCTCCAGAAAAAGCAATGACTACTACTATTGGAAAAGCAACCATGAAAGACAAATCAACTTCTCTTCAACGCTTAGTTCACATCTTAGTGGTCATTAAATGGGAGTAGCCTAACAGCAAACAAAAATTATCATGTAGCATCCACAAAGTCCACAACATGCTTGCAAGCATTTATATGATTACATTGTTTAATCAAGTGAGATCAAGCGTGCAAAAATTAATTATAGATCCCGAATGTAGCTTCCAAACAAATAAAGGGAATCAACGTAATTCTTGAACTAAGATTGCATCAATTCAAAACAATTAAGAAAAATGAATGGATTTCTTCGAGCGATGAGAGAAGTATAGAAAATAAGACTAGTGCTACCATTTCTTGCTGCGTTGACAATGTGCTGAGCCTCTTGTTCTGCAGCTAGCAGCTGTTGGATACCACCCTTGTTGGCTTCCATATTTGCTGAATTTTTTCGTAGTTACTCTGAAATTAAGATTTTTTTGGGGGGTGGGGTGCAAAAATATTACTTTAGTAATTTTATAGCTATAAAATGAAGCCACATGATAAACAGAATAAAATCCAAAGGAAAACAGAAGGTCATCTAATAACATTAACATACACACACAAAGACTTCATAATACCTGATCCGTACTGCACTATTGACATCCCTAGCTCAGAAGTCACAAATTTTAATTGGCATTTTTAGATCCATGTCAAATTTAAAATTCAAAGAGACTTCTAAGACTCCAAGGACCTTATTTTCATGCCTACCAATGAATTACATGTGTATTTTAAGGCAGCCATATAATGCATTTTCCACGCTTAAAGATAAAAACCAAAAGACAAGCAATTCAATCTAACTCAAATTCAACTCCAAATCCTTCGATGCATCAAACTCTTAGTCTTATGACTTAAAATTATTTGATCCTCAAGCCAAGATAATAGACAAAAAGGCCACCAAATAAAAAGTTAACTCTTTAAATCGATCTCAGTAATCTCCTTCAAAATTCTCAAAAACCCATTCTCAGTTAGCACAATATCTCTAAAAAGAACAGGATCATCAGAATTCAGAAGAAACAACTCTAGCTTATAAGCAAATTAATAACTTGCCCATCAAATCTAAGTCCACAAAAGAGCAGGAAAAGAATACCCTTTAAAGGAATTAACCAAACAAAATCTAAGTGAAATACAATTATCAATCAACTAAATAGTCAGATCAACGTTTATATATATATATATATATATATATATATATAAGTGAGCTTTTAAATTTATATAATTTCCAAATCGTTTAATACAGTGAATTATTAAGTTAAAAAAGTAATGATCTGAAGAGTTAAACAATATCAACATTATAAGAAACGAGAAAAGAAAACATTAACTGTAAGGAAGAAGTAAAGAGAAAGATTGGAAGAGAATACATACCCAAGAGAAGCGGTGTTTTTGATTTGAGATTTAACCAGACAATTTAGGGGGAGAAAAAATCATGGTCACTTATTTTAAAGAGGTGAATCTATCAAATGACCACTATACCCTTATTTGTCTTCATAAGAAATACTGTAAAATAATTTTCAAATAATAGTATATTTGTCAATTTTAAAATAAATTAATAATAATTATTAATTAACTATATTTAATAAAATCGATTTAAAATATTAGAAGTGTAACTAATTAACTCAAACCAATCATTTATATATTCAAATATTAATAATATATTATTTGGTATTTGAATTTATCGTTTTTATTATTAGTAAAATTCCTCTTTCCCTTAAATAAGAATTGTTCAAAATAAATTAATTAAATCATTTATTTTATTTTAAATTGGGCTGGAGAACTGACCAACCAAAATGCAACATAAAATTATTAATGCAACAAATCTATAAATCCTTAACTTTTGATCAGGGATGGATTGAGGAGGATGGTCGGCCTCTAAAAATTTTATTTTTTTCATATAATTTATGTATTTATTTATATATTTTATTGATAATATATTTTCACGTCCGGAAATTTATCCCCCAACATAAATTTATATGTATGTCCTGCTTCCCATGGCGCATTTGTTTTTAACAAAGTAAACTGCAAGGGGTTAGCCTTCCACTAGCTTTGCAAGGCATTCCTCATTGAATTAACAGAAACTGAAAGTTCTCTCCAAAGTTAACATATATTCGATAATCGTACCGTGGATCCGGCAAATATAAATGTACGATGAAGAAGAAGAAGAATTCAATCATATATCTATAGCAATCAAATATGTAGTATTATACAACTGATAAGATAACAATAAGCCAAGGATTACCAGGAACCTACTACAACTATGAAGAATGCAGTCACTGATCTTCAATTTGTACAAAACATAATCCAGTTTATTACTTCCTATTTCATTTTGTACGATCCCGCTGCAGATGGATTCAAGCGCCGCCTAAAACAACTGCAGGTGCTGCATCAGTTATCTTCTTCATCGATACAAGCTGAATGAGGTAATTCATGCCATGCAGAAACAAGCAAAGATGTTATGTATAGGGTTAAAAGGGAACGAAACAAAACACATATACAAACTGGGTAAAAAGATAGCTAGGAAAGTCGGCAGTGGCATCCATCGATGTGAAGCATGATCATGTAGCGTAATATAAAAGCAATTCCAGAAACCATAAAGACCGCAATAAAGGGATTCATTTGTGCATGCATAGCGCACATCTTTGGAAGCATTGATTCCGATATGAAGAAGGTTTGGGGGAAAATGTAAACATCACCGGAAATTCTCATCATAAAGACCATCACACAAGTATAACAACTCCCAAGAGCAACATCGAAAGACAACCAGCTTCGAGACACTTTTATGAATGATAGCTGTAATGAAAAATCCAAATCCAAATTGCAATCCAATGCATATATACTTTCAAACAGGCTGTCTAAAGAAACAGAATTACACTGTTTTCACTTCCCTCTAAACCTCTAGAATTAGACCAGTACATGTTATAAAGTAGGTCCTTAGAAAGCCCTGGTAAGCCTGGTGGGGGTTCAAAAAGACGGACATACGTCGAACCGGTTTTTCAAAGTTTTCCATCTCATCGAATCGGAAGCAATGAAAGGTAAAATAAATATTTTTCCACAAGACCGTTCTCAACTACAACTGATGCTACAACTAAAAAGTTTCCATCTTCAAACTTCATAATTCTTTGCAACTTAAAGCTCAAAGACATTAGCTTCTCAAATTTAACTTCATATCAACGATTTTAGGAGTAAAAGCGGGCTTTCCTTGTTTGGTCCCTTCACTCTCGTTTCATCAACAATTCGGAATAGCAACTATATGACAAATTTAAAATTGCTAGCGAGCTTCCACCATACAAGGCTTGGACTATTATGAACCTAAATCAAACAGCTTAAGCCATTTCTTTTAAGCAGAATCAATGAAACATGATCGCAGCAATTATTAACACGATCATCATTCGAGGACGAGGCTGAAAGCGTATGATCCATCACTCTATTTGAATGACTGAGCAATTTAATTAAGTAATATGTCAAGAAAAGGAGGTAAACTAACTTGCTGCAAGACTTCCACTTGAAGACAGAAAAACAAATTTGTTCACAATGACTGGAGACAATTTGTACTGAATTGCTAAGTTGGAATTATAGAATGAAGAACCTCACAAAGCACAACCTTTCTAAACTAATCAATCAAAAGAACAATAAAAGCTTAATCATTCAATCTATAAAATAAACAACAATCAAGTAAAGAGACAAAAATTAAACTTAATGCACAGAAAATGCTCTGAATTCAAAGATAACATCTCCAAAGAGCCCAAGAAAACACTAAAGTCACATAAAATTAAAAAATATATGTAAGAAATCATAAATTAAACCGAGCAAATCAACAAGAATGATCACAGACCACAAGCTACAAGGAGACACCAAAATCGACTAAACTCAAAAACCCAAGTCTAGAAACACCATAAACCAGCATAAAATAAAAAAACCCATACAAAAAAAGCCAAAAGGGGGAATTTAGAGTTACCTCCACAGCAGAAGCAACAGTAACAGCAAGAAAGGACCATGAAAATCTCTCGACAGATCACAATAAAACTGGTACAACATTTAGAAGAAGCAAAGTTCGAGTCGGCAGGTTCTTGTTCATTTAAGAGATTTTGCTGGTTGCTTGGAGTCCTTGGGGAAGAAGAAGATTGTTTCTCCGATTTCATTCTATGGAGGTTCCATTCTAGTTTTCTTAAATAAGCGATTTTGAATGAATCTCTTAATCTAACTGATGGCCATAGATGCATTTTTTCCTCTCTGTCACACACGCACACAGCTTCTTTATCTTTTGATAGATTGATATTAGAAATTTCTGATAATGAAACAAAAAAGGGGAACCAGCAAAAAGCCATTTTGACTATTACGTGAAATGAAAATCGATAAGATACTTCTAAACGACGACTTAAGATATTTTATTTTTATTGGTTAAAATGTACAAATTATCTTTTAATTACAAAATATTTTTTATTAGGTCCTCTTGCTATAAAAAATATAAAAAAAATAACGTGATAGTCAAAATTAAGAGACTATTTGTAATAAAAAAATAAAAAAATAATTAATAATTAATAAAAAAATAATTAATAAAAATAATAAAATCATTAATAAATAAAGTAATCATTAATAAAAACCTATTTTTTTCTTATGGGGAGTGTATTGTGGTTTACTGTGCACATGGGACTTGGGTTGTCGACAAATTATAATTAAGACGGATAGTTTGTAAACGATCAAGGAGATAAAACAGGCTAAGGATGGTACATTTCGGTTTACACTATTACACAACATTCTCGAGTTGATGCAAAGGAACTGGGAGGTTAATTTTCAGTGTGTGCAGGCTTGGAAATCAAGTTGCGGATGGAATAGAAAAATTAGCAAATAGGTGGAGCTTAGGATGCAAGGTTGTTATGGAGGCACCCGAGGAAGTGAAACATATATTACAAGAATACCAACACAATAGCAATGTGTAGCCGATAGTTTACTCTTTGTTACAAAAAAGAAGAAGAATAAAACTTGAACTTAAAATTCTCAAACTTTCGAGTTGCTCACAAAATTTTTAAATCGAGCATCAAATAATTTTTTTCTTAATCTGTTAAAATTTCAAATTAATTTTTTTTAATTCAAATATTGACCTAACTTTAAATAAATCAAGCTCAAATAACTTCCTATTTGTCTATTGTTTACTGCCAATGTTACGGTCACGAGTAGATGTTACAAAACAGTACGCTCCAAGTAGCACTCAATCCCAACCTCCTGCTTTTTCTGTACTAAAAAAACTTCTTCTTTGACTCTCACAACAAAACCAAGGCTTTTTTTTTCTGCATCAAATCTCCATCGTAAGCCTATCCTCTTTCCTTTTCTTAAAAGTAATTGTTTTTGTTTATCAAATTCTCTTCTTTCTTGCTGTGTTTCAAACCTTTTTGATGTTATCCCACTTCAAATCCTTTGCTTTTAGATTGGCCATATATTCATGTAATCTTACAGTTTCATTGACTGGGATTCATATATAGTTTTAAATCTGTAAATACCCTTTTCTTTTTATGCCCTGCTTCTGTTTGTTTTTGGTTTTTGAGATTGAAAGCAATGATCCCATAGATTTTATTGATGGAGAATTTCAAATTGTACTCTGGATAAATAAGAATTAGTCCGTGTATTATGAAAGTGAGCAATTTGGTTATTGTGCAATTAATTTGGAAGCAAATGGTTAAAAGTGTAAACTGCAATAAGGTTGAATGTTAAAAAATGCTGTTATGTGTTTACAGTGACATGGGGTTTTTTCCTTTCAAAAATTAGCATTTTAAAAAGCCGACCCTTTGATCATATTTTGAGCAGGTTTATTTGTTAAAAAATGCGAAGGCGGCCTCAAACCACATCGATTTCACCTGATACATCAGCCAATAAATCAAGTGATGCCTCTAAAACTGATGAGGAAGCCGAATTGAATCACGGTATTCAGATAAAAACTGCAAGGAGGTCAGGGTTCACATTGTTGACATTGCTTGGGGTCATTGTGTACGCTCCTTGGACTGTTTATCAATACCAGTATGGGAGTTTGCCTGTGCCACTTACTGCTGAGCAAGCAGGCAAAAGGGGCTTCTCAGAGGTGGAGGCAATGAACCATGTCAGGGAACTGACTCGATTGGGGCCGCATACTATTGGTTCTGATGCTATTGAACTTGCTCTGCAGGTAGTGTCAATTACATAGTTTCATTACCTTTTGAACTAATGATAATCGGATTGTTCTCTTCAATCTTGATTATATTGTATTATCTTTGATGTTATTGAATTCTTTGCCATGGTTATGAAAATAGGGAATGATCTTTAATTTTGGTTTTGATTATAACCGGTCATTTGTTTGAATGAGATATAGCTTGGGTCTTCTTTTTATGAACATTGTGATGTTGACAAAAATAAACAACAATTGGATGACATTATCTTGTTGTTGGTATATTGTGCCTTAAATATGTTCTTATT